ACCCAATCCCACCTCTTTGTCTCTAAGTGGAGTCTGCATGATATGGACGTAGGAGGAGATCTGATCTCTATCCAGAGCCCCTAAGAATGAATCTTCCTGACTGCCTTTCTTCTTCCTTTTTACTCTCACACATCCCTGGCAAATTATCTCAGAAAAATAATGGTTGGGAGTTGCAAGGGTCATTGGCAAGTTGTAAAGGTCATGTTATGGAGGGATATGGACAAAGGTCTTGTATGAGTCTCAGTTGGCATCTCTGGGGGTGGAGCTAACACGGGATTCCTATACTGTGTCAGATATTGCTCACATGGTGTAATGTCAACCTCTCTACAAGTCTTTATAGATGAGGCTTAGAGATGGTCAGGAACTTGTCTAATGTTTCATTGGAAATGGCAGAGATCACGATTCAAAACTAGGCTTGCACACTCCAGAGACCGTATTTTTCTCTCGCCCCAGACTGGCTCACCCCATTAGTCTGAGATGCCCCTCAGCCCTACCTGCACTGCTCAGTTTGCAATGCATTTTGCTCAGATCACTCCGTTTACGTTCACAGTGTGAGCACTACAAGTCTCCCCTCCAGCTATTCCTTGTCTCTTTGTGGTCATTACCCACATTCTTGTTCTCTTTTGTATCCTCTTCAGGGAGTTCAGCATGGTGTTACCCAGAGAGGGCACTAAAGAATTCTCAGGCCCACCCCTGTGCAGTAAGTGTCTAGAAATGCAAATTCAAGTGGCTTCTTCTGAGGGGAAAGGATGGTGTGTACTCAGTTATGTCTTGTGTAGTTTTTATGCCTTTTTATAAGTCTTATTTCCTGTTAAATTAAAAAACTCCCTGTGATATCTCTGAGGCCCAGTGACCTTGGCTCCACCCCATATAGTTCAGGAAGGTGAATGAAGCCTCCTGAGGAGGAGGGGCTGCAGCTCCACAGACAAAAGGGGGCAGGCCAATGGGAGGCAAAGTTTGCCAACTCATTCCCTTCTTATTCTCCTACTGGGAAAATATTAGGCAGTCAGCTCCTTCGGAGGGAGAGCAGGTGTCAGTATTGTCTTTAATTATCCCACCCAGCGCTGCCTCCACACTCCCTACATTGCTCCAACCCTGCTGACTCCGCAGCATCAGTCTCCTGATTACAAAAGCTCGCTTTGGGGAAAGCCCTTTTTCTCTCCCTGCTGCTGCTGTCCTGAAGCCAGAGGATGCCTTAGTGGGAGCTGCTCCTCTGCACTAAGTGGCTGGACATGATGCTGACTGGTGGCACTGAGCTGGGGTGGAAGGGTCTGGATTCTTTACCACTGTCCCCTTCCCAACCCCACAGAAGAGGGGAGGCTGCCTGGCCTTCCAGTCAGAGGTCAGACCCAAGGTACCCAGAGCAAAGTGCAGAGCACGGGTGATACTAATACGAGAGGTGCAAAGGGCATGGGTACACGGCCCCCTGTGGCAAGGTCATGTCATAAGGCTGTGAGCATCACACTGGGGATCATGAAACCTCCAGCCCTGTCACTAGCTGTGCGATTTCCACCAAACCACTGCCTTTCTGGGTTTCAGTGAACTCCACCTGTAAGATGGACACCGCAGTAGTTACTTCTCTCACAAGGCTGTTAATAAGATCAAAGAAAACAATGTGTGTTAAAGATCAGATTCATAAGGCATTGTGAATACTGCTCTGAGTTGCCAGACCACTTTATAGACGGCCTTATCCCATGTCTCATCCCACTGCATACTGTCCCAGTCCTCTGTCATTTCATTCCCCAAACATGTGGCGAGCTCCTACTAGGTGCAGACAGTGGCAGAGAGCTAAAACTGCCCCCAAGATGAGCTCATTTATGAATTCAACAAATATTTGTTGGGCAGTTATGTGCCTGGCCCTGGGCAGGCACTGGGGATTGAAGAATTAGACCCATTACCTTAAACCCATTACCTGCCATGTAAGTGCACTGGCCAGTGGGGAGTCAGGTGCATAGCAAAGGAATTAGCAGTAAGAGAATATGGGAGCTCAGGGAAGCTTCTGGGAGTGTCACCAAGCTGGGCAGAAGGATGTAGCCAAGAGCAGACTGGTGGGGAGTTCTCAACAAGGAGGAAGTAGGTGCCAAAGCACTTGCTAGAAAGCCAGCAAACTGCCGCTCCCTTCCTCCCAGGCTGATGGCTTCCAAACCCTTCTCTCCCTGAAGGGCTGCAGGGCTTCCAGGAGGGCGAGGGACCAATGCCCCCAAACAGATAAGACACACACACAGCAGCACCTCAGAGCCAGAGAGAAAACCAAATCCACAGGTAAAAATTATACTTTTATTTGAGTCACCAGGAGAAAGATTCACTTGTGGTCCAAGTCAAATGTTCAGAATCATAACAGGCCAGAAAGATTTGATCCCAAGCACAAGCCCACGAGGGAGGGGACCAAAACAGACCAAGAAAAGACAACCACCCCATATAAAAAGATGAATGGACGGCTTCACACACACAGATGAAATGTTTGGACAGAGGCAAATTTCACACGGTCATTTCTGTTCCTTTTTAAATACAGGTTTGCAGGGTGGTATTTTTTTTTTCCAGCTATAAAAAAAAGGCCCCAAAGTGCATATGTGAGGGGGAAAAGGCAGAAATTAAGCAACAAAGTAGTTTTCCCTGGAGGGACATGAGGAAGAAAACAGGAAGCAGTGTTGAGAGAATTTGCTTTTCTCACCATTGGGCTTCTTGTATTTTATTATTGGCCCACTAAAGTTATATTCACATTGTAGCTTTGATGCATCTTCTTTCCTGGGATTAGATTGGCTAAAAGACCTCTGTGAGCTGTAAGAAAAGACCAGGGACTTGGCCCAGCCCTCAGGTTCTGTGCTCTTCTAGGGATGGAAGGTTCTGGAAAGGAACAAGGACTCCCAGCAGCCCCTGGGTCCCTCAGCACCAGTGTGATAGACAGTCCCTTCTTTCTCTGGGGGTGTGTAAGAAAAGCTCCCCTATTTTTAGGATGGAGGAGTAGAGGGGCCAGTAGCAAGATTGTAGTGGCTGGCTTGCTTTGTTTCAGATGGAAAATTAAGCTGAGTGAACACAGGCTGCTTCTTGCTCCTCCTGGTCCCTCTCCCGGCCTCTCACTACCCTCCCAACCGCAGGTCCTCCAACAGGATGTGTCTCTGACCTTTGGTCCCAGAATCAATGTTGTGCTTTGGGATCAAGAGGAAACGGAATGACCAGCGCCTCCCCCAAGGCTCCCAAAATTGTTCCCTCTGCCTCCCTCATCCCCTAAATGGTCCAGTATAAGACACTCCATCTGCCCTCACCTCAGCTGGGGCCAAGGAGTTCAAGAGATGGGTCAGGCAGGTCTCCTCCCCCACAGCCATTTCCTCAACCCTCTGATTCGGGGTAAATATTCCCAAGTCAACTCACAAGCAGTGAGGATTTGACTACTGAATCCACCTGCAGGCCCCTCCTCCCCTCCAGGGTACAAGGATGCAAAGATGTCAACTGTGGGGCCTGAGTGGATGCAGGGTGATGATGGGAGACGGAGACCCAGAGGGGTGACAAGAAAGCCCAGAGATGAATAAAGCTAGGCAAGGTTCGTCACAGCCACCAACGAGCAGGAGAAGGGACTTGGAGATAGCACCATCTTTCCCTTCCTCATCCCGGGGTCTGTGCTTCCAGTTTTGTAGCCCTGGGAACCTCTCCTTCTGCGTCAAGGGGGCTCTGGGTAAGCGAGAGGCTCTGAGTGAGGCACCCACAGTGTGGGTGACACAGGGGCCTCTGGTCCCCCACTCTGCAGCCCAGGACACAGAAATGGGGGAAGAGAATATGTCCGGAGGCATGAAGCTTTTCCCCAACCCCAGCCAGCCACACCACCAGCCGCGCAACTCCTCAATCGTCCCTTTGCTTCTGCCCAGCACACTGAAAACGGTATGGGGGCTTCCTCCACTTGGGGATAGAAGGAAAGGAGGAATTTTCACTCCAAAGAAAACTAGGAACTTCTCTCCCCTAGGGCCCTCCTCTTTCGCTGTGGGTTTTGAGGAAAACATCAGGGGAGGACAGCTCTGTGCACCCTCACAGAAGACCAGTCTCCTGCAGGACTGCACCTGCCCCCTTCTCTCACACTCACATGCTCACACTAGCCTGTCACAAACACACACACTAAGTCCTGGGGATACAGAGGGTCCTGTGGCTGTGCACAGTTCCAGTCCACTTGGCGTCAGGTCTGGGAGAGGAGGCCGTGGATGGCCTGAAACATCTTCCCATGAGGAGCAGGGAGGAATGGCTCACCTAACCTAGATCTCAGGGGGCTGGGCCGTGGCCACAAGGCCCGAGGCTTCCTTGCCCACCTTTCAGAACCACAACTTCCAGCCAAGGAGGCCAGCCAGGGTCCCTGGAGATGGGGGTGGGAGTGAGGGCAAAGGACTGCGCCGTTCACCTCCTCCCCGCAGGGGTCCCTAAAAGTAAGAAAGGTGAGAGCTTGACCCAAGCCACGCTCCTGGGGAGCTCCTCGCTCACACCAGGTCTGCATGGGCAGGAGGGCAAAATCACAGTGTGAGGAGGAACACTCATGGGGAGGATGAATGAATCCCACGGCGGGAGCTTTCCCTCCTTTGTTGTCCTTGAGAGAGGGAGGGTATGAGACTCCTTGGAGGGCCCACAGCCCACCTCTGAGAAGCAGAGGCAAAGCCCATCTCACTGGTCCCTACACAATGGCAGCCCCCGCCCCGGCCCCATCCCAGGGGCAAGGGCAGTGGAGTCTCACTCCCGGGAAGGTATGGAGCCCCTCCCCTGGGGGCCCTGGGGTCTGGGGCTCACCCCAGCCCTGGAATGTTTGGGTGTGTGAGGAGGTGGGCGGGAGGGTCTGAGGGGGCAGAAAAGAAAGAAGGCAGAGGCCTGGGAGCCAACAGGTCTCCCATTCCAGACCAGCCCCACGGGCCTCGCCCCCCCAGAGAGGTCCACACCTGTTCCATCCAGAGAGAAAACCGAGAAGCTGGTCAAGGGAAAAACCTGCCAGAGGAAGGAGCCCGCGAAAGTGGCAGAACAAGGCTTCAGTCGGCAAAAGAAGCTGGAGGAGGGTAGGAATAAACAAGCTGTCGCAGATTTAAAAAAACAGACACTGAAGGGTGGACAGGTCACGCCCAGGACGGATGTGATGCCGGATGCGATGCCGTGGAATGCGCTGAAGACAGATGGGGCGGGCGGCACCCGGCGGGCTCAGATGGCCTCCACGTAGTTGGCCGGCAGCATCCCCGTGTCGCCGGTGCGCTCCACGGTCCCGTACATCCAGCCATCGTCGATCTGCTGCACGTTGACGATGGTGTCCCCATCCTGGAAGGAGACCTCGTCCTCGTCGGCAGCACTGTAGTCATACACAGCGCGGTACCGCTTCTGCAGGGGTGGGGGCACAGTCAGCCCGGGGCCTGGCTACCCCAGGGCCTGAGCCTTTCTTTCTGACTCTCCGGGACCCCAGGGCAGAGCCTGGTGAGCAGTGAACTAGGACCCGGGAGACAAGAAAGGGTTGGGCGCTGCTACAAATTTTCTCACCTCTGTGTGTCACTTTCTGAGAGCGATCACACTTTTTACAATGTTTCTGGCATCTACTTAGGACCAGGCACAAGACAAGGACTGAGGCTACAATAGCTCTGCCCCACCTCTCGGAACCAGCATGCAATAAAGTCCAACGGACACAATGCCAGGTTGTGTTTAAAGATATGGCATGCCCTGTATGCTATTATCTATATTATTATAAGCACTAGTCTTTCTTTATGTTTTTTTTTTTTAAGCTGTGATATGAGTCTGACTTCACTCCCAAGTTCAGGACAAAGACCTATTCTTGGGAGAAAAATCTCCAGGTGACACAAGAGGTGTCTATCAGGTTCACCTTCCAATCTCGGCCAAAGTCATATGCTTAAGCCCCAGCTCTAGGAAATGTCCCAAAAAAGCACATGAAATCCAACAATGGTCTTGGAGGTGGGCAAGATTCTAATGTCCTCTGACCCTCACTGCCCTTGACATTGACTTGTCTCTGGGGGTCAGCCCAGCCTTTGTGGGGCCAGGCCCTGGGATCTGTGTGGGGCCGGGCAGTGGAGCCCAAGCGCCAACTGGTCCAGAGCTGAATGAGGCCCTCAGGACCCTCCCGCGCCTGCCCCCACTACTCCACCCCACTGCCAGGACCGCTGCTCAGACCTTTTGTTTCCCCCCTCTGGTCTGCCCCCTCCAACTGTTCACCCATCGTGATCTCAGGGGGAACGTTCCAAAATGCAAACCTGATCCTGTTACTCCGGGGTTTAAATCCTTCAGAGGTCCCCCATCCTCGTTAGCACTAAATTTCAAACTTTTCTTCAAGCAGCAGAAACCAGCTCCATCAGCCCCAAAGGCTGCGGGATGAGGGGTCACACTCCTCATGAAGTGACCTCGGTCTCTCTTATCACCAACTCTGCCTGTCTCTTGGGCTGAGTCGCTGTCATCTATGCCTGCATCCAGCAACAGCCTCCTAACTGATCTTCCTGCTTCTGCCCTCCAACTTCTACTGCCTCTTCTCAACACAGCTGCCAGAGCAATCTTTTAAAAACAAGTCAAACCGCATCACGCTGTATAGCTTGCTAGTCACAAAGGCCTTCCTGTGGCCCACACATCCCTGCATGACCTGACCTCATCTCCTACCCTCTTCCCCTCTCTAGTCACTTTGGCCTTCTGGCTGGTCCTTGAACTTTCCTAGAATATTCCTGCCTCAGGGCCTCTGCACTTGCTATTCTCCTTGCACTGCTCACTCCTTCACTTTATTAAGGACTCTGCTGCTCTCTCTCCCCTCGCCCTGCTGTCTCTTTCTTCACAGACCTTACAGTATATACCTACTTATTTATTGCCTTCTTATTTGTCTCCCTGAAAAGAATGAAGCTCCAAGAGGGCAGGACGGTGGACTTTTATTCAGAGCCAAATCCCTCGCGTCCAGGAAAGGTTTAGTGAGTATTCGAAGGACTGGCTGGTCTATCTGGAACCTCACCCTTTGGACGACCTCTTGGGCCCGCCCGGCACCCCAGTTGGCACTGACACTCCCTCGTCTATGTGTCCAGAGCATGAGGCTCCTGCAGGCCACTTATCTCAGGCTATTTTATTTCTCTGAGTATTGTCTCTCCTGCTCCTACATGAGCTACTTTGAATTCCCAGGCACCCAGCACAGGGGAGCTGAGCTTGGCCAGGAGCTCAGGACTGGGGGCTCATTGCACCCACAGCGGGGTGAGTAGCAGGACTTACAGACCGGGGACTTCAACTCTAAGGACGGGGAAGCCTGACCCCGGCCCGTTCCCTACTCTGCTCGTTCAGTTATTCAGCAACGTTGACGAGTGCTGTTCTGTGTCTGGCTCAGAGTAGGGGACCCAAAGGGACACTGCCCTGCCCGCACAGAGCTTCAAGTCCAGTGGGGGACACACACACAGAAGTTAACAGAGAACTGTTTGAAGTTGGAAAAAGTGCTCTGAAGGAAACCAGTGGGAGAGGGACAGAAACGTCAGGGGACACCAGGTGACATGGAGTGGTTTGGGAGGGCCCCTCAGAGACAGAGCAAGCTGAGATCTGAAGGACACGGGGGGGTCATCCTCACAAAGAGTGGGGAGCAGGGCCCAGGTCTGAAAGGCCCCAAGAAGAAAGGTGCTTCGTGTGCTCCCGGGTAGCTGCAGTAAGGAAATTTGGGCGGGGGTGGTGGTGGTGGTGGTGGTGTGACTTGCCCAAGGTAACTTGTCCTATAACACAGGGCCCCAGTCCCAGCCCAGGGCTCTGCCCACTACACCACCCTGCAGAGGCTGGGATCCCTACCACTTGCAGATGACAATCTGGGGTCAAGGGTCAGGGGATGCAGGCCTCCTGGGGGGCAGGGCCCTAAGGACAATCCATGAGCTATGTCCAGGAGGCCTTCCCCAGGCCCACCCACCTCTGGCCTCCTCAGGCCTCTGACCTCCAACCGCCCACCTCACTGCTCTGGCCGGGGCTACTCACCCCGCCCCCGCCTGGGGCGCTGCGCTGTATGGAGACTGGGGCTGCAGGCTCCTTGTAGCCACCATAGGATTGCGCCGGCTGCTGCTGCTGGGGCTGCTGGTAAACTGGGAGATGGGAGGAGATGGGGCTCAGAAACTGTCTTGCCAAACTCAGGCCCTCCCAGAGCCCCCTCCCTTCCTCCACGAAGCCCATATCATGTATTTCCACCCCCACACCATTGCTCAACCCCCACTTCTCAAGAGCTTATGTCTGTATGTGCTCATCTGCCGGTGCTGCGTATTCTACAGCAGGGGCTGTGGCTCCCCCATCACTCTGGGGGCCCAGCACAGGCCTGACCCCGGTGCTCACGGCCTCAGTGGGGATGGGACCCAAGGACTTGCGTATGTGTGTGTGTAAACGCGGCTTCCTCCCACCCTGTAGCTGGCCTGGCCTGGCCTCAGGTCCTCTGCCCCCACAGGCCTCACACTCACCCGGGGCGCTGGTTGGGATGTGGTGAGGCGGCTGCTGCTGCTCCTGGGGCCGCCGGTAGCTGCTGCTGCCCTGGGAATCTCGGCGCTCAGGCTCCATGCTCTCACCCCCGCTGGGGCCCATCCGGCTCTTCTCAAACTCCTCATGGTATTTTATCTGCAGGGGCAGAAAGCATTCGGTGAAGGACTCACAGCAAACCAACCAAAGCTCCCCTCCTGTTGCCACTCCAGATTGCAGATGGGAGAGACTCCTGGAGGGCTCCAGGCAGAGAGCCAGGTTCTCTTCGGGGGCTCACCAGCAGTATGCCATTGGGCAAGCTACTGAACCTTGCCCAACCTCAGTTTCCACCTCTGTAAAATGGGACACTGGTGTCAACCTCAGGTGTTGCTGGAAGAGGCAATGAGATGACAAGGTAACAGGTCCATGTAAACTAAAGCACCAGACAGATGTGAGCGGTCATTTTTATGTGCCTGTGGCAGGGGCTGGGGGCTGCCCCCTCCCGCCCTCCTCAACAGCAGCAATAGCAGCAACTCCTGTTTACCAAGCACTTCCTAGGTGCCAGGCACTGTGCTGGGAGTTCCACATCCCGGCTCATTTTACCTGGTCAGCACCTATAGGGGGTATATTACAGCCCCCATTTCACAGACAAGAAGGAAACTAAGGCACTAACAAGCAAAGTGCGTTGCCCAAGATCAAGCAGATTGCAGAGGCTGTGCTCTAAATCGTTAGGCCCTGGGAAGAGGTTTCTGCCTCTTGTGGACGTGATCTCAAAGGCCAGAGCCCAGGGACGCTCTGCTGAGGACCCCAGCATCCCGGGACAAGAAATGCCGGACCCTCCCTGAAGGTGGGTCGTTATCTTGGAGATGGGTTCCTCCTCTCGTCAGCTTTCGAAAATGGGCAAAAAGAGGCATGGAGAAGCCCCAGTACCCAGCAAGGGCTGGCTGCTTTGAACGGATCAGGACCCTGGAGACCTTCTAGTATTGCATTTCTTAAAATCTGGTCTTCAGTTTATCTGCTTCCTACCCACTTGAGCTGCTTATGAGAATGCAGGTTCCAGGGCCTCCCACAGAATCTACAAAATCAGGGCTACGGTTCTGGAATATGCATTTTTATTTATTATTATATTTTTTTTTATATTTTTTTTTTATTTTTTTTTTTTTTTTCCCCCAAAGCCCCAGTAGATAGTTGTATGTCATAGCTGCACATCCTTCTAGTTGCTGTACGTGGGACGCAGCCTCAGCATGGCCAGAGAAGCGGTGCGTCGGTGCGCGCCAGGGATCTGAACCCGGGCCGCCAGCAGCGGAGCACACGCACTTAACCGCTAAGCCACGGGGCCGGCCCTGGAATATGCATTTTTAAAAAGCTCCCCAGGTGAGTCCAAAGCAGACTCAAGAGCAGAGGTTGGCAAACTGTGGTCCCAGGGCTCACAAGCCAAGAATGATTTCTACATTTTTTTAACGTTTGGGGGGAAAAAAATCAAGAGGAATTATATTTTGTGACACATGAAATTTCAGTTTCCACGTCCAGAAATCAAGTTTTATTGGAACGCAGCCACACCCACTCGTTTACCTATTACCCATGGCTGCTTTCCTGTTCTAACTGCAGAGCCGAGCAGCTGCGACAGAGGCCCTGTGGCCCACGGAGCCTAAAATATGTCCTCTCCGGCCCTTTACAGAAAAAGTCTGCAGACCTCTGCTTGCCAAAATACTCTGCACACTCCTGTTGGTAAAATATGTTTTAGCACAATCCTCCCAAATTACATCTATTTTATAAATTACATACAAGTATCACTTTACACATATGGAATGTATACTGTAAAACTTACACAAAAAATATGAATTAAAAAAAGGCTGAGATGAAAAAGAACCAGAGCCAGGAGTTCTAAAGTTTCCCCCTGTGCTCTCGGTGGCACAGGGTGCCCGTACCCCACCTTGAAGACCCCTGGTGGGGTCTGTTCACTTTTCCGAGAGGAAACTGTTGGGGAGGGGAGCAACCAAGGAAAGGTGCTGAGGCCATGGTTTGGGTGTTCCGGGAGTGCTGGGCTGGCCGGGGGGTCAGCGGGGAGGAAGCGGGACAGAGTGACAGAGTGGCACCCCTCACCCTCAGTGGAAAGCAGGACACTGAGGGAAATGTCCCGTCTCAGGCAGGCCCAGGCCCTGCATTCTCTCCAGGCCACAGACCACCCGCCTGGAAGCTGGTTCTCACTTCCTGTTCACCAGGATCCTGCCCTGCGAGTCTCCCAGTGGAAAACAGGGTGGGAGCAGGGGATCAGGGACAGGAGAGGGCAAAGCCCGCCCTGTTTCCTGGAGCAGAAGGCACCAGCGAGCCTGTGCCCTGGAAGCCCTGGCCCAGGTCTGACCACAGCTGTCCCAGCCAAGGCAAGACCCTTGGGCCATCCACTCCCACTTTCTCTGCTGCCTTCTCTCCTGCTCCTGGGCGTTCACCTTGCCAGGAGGGCAAGAAGTCACACGAGGCTGGGCAGGGCTTACACGTTAGTAGCTGGGCTAAAGGTCTACAGGCGCAGCCTCTGCTGGCTGGATGACAGTTACTCCCTGCAGCCGGGGCTGGGAGGATAGGCAGGGCAGCAGCAAAGCCCAGGACGGGTCCAGGCTGGAGGCAGAGAGCGCCTTACTTGGGCGTTTGGGTCAGGACCAGCCCCTCCTCTCCCTGCTCATTCCCTTCAAGCCCAAGCAGCGACCCACGCCCAAATGGTGAAGTAGGCTGAGCCTATTCCTGAGGGGCAGCAGCCAGCCCTGGGCAGCCTGAAACACCCTTGGTCCCCTCAACTCCCACCCAGAAGGGCACCCAGGGGTGAAGTCCTCAGACACAGGGCCAAGGCCCTGCTCTCTGATTCCTAAGACAAGGGTGTGAAGTCATTCTCTCTCAGTGACCCCCATCCCCTGGTGGGTGGGGGAGGACAAGGAGAGGGGACATCTCTCCTGAGGCTCTAAGCTCACAAAGCAACTGCCCTTCGACTTCTGTCCTGGGGGTGGGCAAGGTCAGCTTCCTATGTTTACTTTCTGTTAATGAAAAGAGGCCTGACCCGGGAGCCGGTGACCGAGGAGGGAAAGCACATATGTGGAGGATGGGGCCTGTACTGGGGGCCCAGCTACCCTGGGTGACAGCCCTCTTCTCTGGGTGTGACTCTATCTGCATCAGTGACAGGGTGACCGAGAGCCCTGGGGAAGAGGGCATGTCTGGGTCCCAGGGTGCCATCCTCTACTCATGTCCTACAGACTCAATCTCACCACGGGCAGCAGCGTCCCTCCTGTGCCTCGTCCCCGGGAGATCATGAGCCCTTCACTTACTCTTGTGACCCTGGGAGAGCCCTTTCCCTTCTGTGCCTCAGTTTCCTCATCTGTAAACAAGGACAAGGTACCATCCGCTCCCAGGTGGCCCTGAGGCTCCTGACCAGCTCCAGGAACCTAACCAAACTAGAGCTGAAAGCAAGTACGGACATGCCACCACACGTGGATAAATATTTAAAATCAGGGCCTGGTGACCCGGGTGGATGGAGCAGCAGCCGTCTGAACACAAAAGAACCCTCCTCACCACCCATGCAGGTACCACCTCTTATTATTCATAATCTTCACGTTTGCTCAACTCTTCACACTAAGTTCATAAAAGCTCTATGCACATTATCTCCCTCGGCCCTGACGATAATCACCCTAAAACATAAGTTGGACAGGTACATTTTAATTCCCAATTACAGAAGAGGAAAACGAGGCTCAGAAGCAAAATGACTCCCCGAGGCAGAGCTTCCATTACTCAACAAGGGCCGAGGCTGGTCACACGAGGACAAAGTCACAGCTAGACAGCCCTTTCCTGAGGGCAGGCGTGGAGCAGGGTGACCACGTTCCTAGTCCCAGTTCACGTCTTCTGTTCTGGATAAACATCAACAGCACCCCTTTCACTCTCCAATAGGCACATTAAAGGGTGTTAGCACATCCGAAAGGGAAAGAAACATTTTAGACTCCAAGGGCCCAGCTGATCCCTGCTGCAAGCTCAACACAGTCTGATCTTCGAAGCGCCCTGCAGGGGGTCACCACAGCCCAGAAACATTGGCAGAGCCCCAGCTTACGAACTGTCCTGGGTCCCTGGGGAAGGACACCATGCTCTGTGCCCACAAGATCCAAGTGCACGTGGGTTGAGGGGCCCAGGCCTAAGGACCCTCCCCACATACCCAGGCCCCTGCTAGCCAGGACTCCAGGTCCATTCCAAAGCTAAAGAAAACACATCTCCACTAGCCGATGTTCTGTTTTCTGAACCCCCTTCTCCTGATTGTGGTGGCAAACAGCAGTCTGACTCTCCACACGATGCTCTCACATGATTCCACATCACGGCTAAGGAGGGAACACCAGGCTTTGAATGGAATAATCAACTCACTAGCCAGAGTCTACTTTTTATAACAATGTGTCCCATTTGCTGAGGGCCTACTTTGTGCCCTGACAGGCATTACTCATTTCCTTTCCTCAGCCAGCCCAAGAGCAGTGTATCACCATCATCCCCCTTTTATAGATGGGGAAACCAAGGCTCAAGGGGTGGGTAAGTGGTGGTTAGGCAGAATCCAGTCCTAACATCAGATCCTTAGTCCTCAACCACCATGCAATACTGCTCCTTATTAGAGACTAACAATATTTTGTTTTTAAAACAAATGTAAATCTGTGCTCAACTTCATTAGTTATCAGAGAAATGCAAGTTAAAACCACAATGAGATGCCATGATACACAATCAAAAATGGCTAAGATGAACAAGTCTAAGGATGTAGAGCCAGGGGAACTCTCATCACTGCTGGCAGGAGGGTAAACCAGTACAGCCATTTGGAAAATAGTTCAGCATTATCTGGTAAGGTTGAAGGAACATACACTCTGAGACCCAGCAATTCCACTCCATGTTAATACAAGGAAATATGTATGAGGTTGTCCAGAGCACGCGGAAGCAATCCAAATGTCCCTCAACACCAGAATCAATGAAATGAGGTATAAGCATTAAGTGGAATACTATACAGCAATGAAAAAGAATGACCATGCAAACGTGTAGATGAATCTTTAAACCCAATGCTGCCCAAAGGGAGCAAGACACAAAAGAATACATACTATATGTTCAAAATCAGGAAAAACAACTATAGTGTTTAGAAATGCATAGTTACATAATAAAACTATAAAGAAAAGAATAGCGCAAGCTTTCAAAAATTAAACTTCCGGGCTGTCCAACAAGCCTGCCTCCAGGCCATTTGACTCTGAGGACGGAATTTTGTTCGGCTTCACCATTTACTACTGATTAGGCCCACACTCTAAAGACTGAAGCTAACTTCAGAAATACAAGCTAATTATTTCTGACTGTTAGAAATACGAAGGATTTCTGCCTGTAGCAAGCATATCTCACAAGTTTACGGTTATGGTCCTGTAGGACATTAACCAGTTCTACAGCCCATGGCAGGACATTACCCAGTTCTGTATCTAACTGTATCCAGCACTTTCTTTCACTGACTAGGCATCACCTCTGCCTGTCATATCCTCCAGCTGGTTCCTGATAATTAAGTTAAATACATGATAGGTGCTCACTACATGAGAGTTATGTTTTTAACATTTCGAAGACTATTTTGACTGCAGTGCGGTAATGTTCTATTTCTTGACTTGCATGGTGAGTACACAGGTGTTCACTGTATGTGTTACTGCGTGTTATGTTGCACAGAAGAAGTTAAAAGACACAAAATTATATACAGAAAATCAATATATAAGTAAATACGTAGGTAAATAAAAGCAGAGCTTCTCTACTTGAAGGCAGCAGCTCCTATAAGGTGGCCTTAGCAATTCAAGGTTCTCAGCCATTGGAGCTCGTGACCGAAGGCCAGGATTCCTGAAGGATCAACTTCACCTCATAGCATGCGGCCCTGGCTTCTCACCCCTTTAGATGCCTTTAATGAAGACACAATTACTCACCACAGATGTAGAAGTTACAAGTATCTTGCCTCATAATTTTCCACACATTCTCAGAACTAGACAATGGCCAAACTTCAGCCAAACTTTACTCCATGTCCCTCCTTCAGCCACAATGTAGAAGGCAGACAGACTTGCCTTTAAAGTAATAATAATGGACAGTATTTATCAAATGCCAAGCACTTGACATTTTCCTCGAAACCACCTTTTAAGGTAGGGCCCAGGGCCCTCATTTTTACAGATGAGAAAACCGGGGCTCAGCGAGGCCCACCTGATTGCTGCACGACAGAAGCCGGGATTCCTGCTCTCACTGGCTCTCCCCACCTCACCATCTCGCCTCTCAGCAGGACTGAAGACAGTCCGCACACATCCAAAGCATTTAAACACCACCCAGGGAGCCCAGACACTTGTTTTTAAAATGCTTTTGCTGGTGAACCCTCTAGTCTGCAGCATCTTTCTCCAGGGAGGCAAATCTTCATCTCTCTGCAGGATGGTCTGACCTCTGGAAATAGCTAGGAGCCATTTGGTGCTAACCTGGGAAGTGAGTGACAAGCTACATACAGGAATACTATTTTGGATACAAAACAAAAGGTGGGGCTCTAAACACTATCTTTCCCAAAACTCTTGTGGAGATGGGACAACTTAATGGCTCTAAGTGTGGTTTAAAGTTCCCTTGGGGTTCTGGGATGCGGCCAGGCCTGGCGCCTGTGACTCAGGCCTTGGTGAAGCTTTTTCAGACTCTTAGGTGATGGTTCTCAGACTTCCATGAGCACCACAACAACACAGAGAATGTTTAAAATGCTGGTTCCTGGGCCACATTCCCAGAGATGCTGCCTCAGGCGGCCTGGGGACCAGGCCTATGAGTCTGCATTTTCAATAAACTTTCCCAAGTGATTCTAGTCCAGTTGTTTGGAGGCCCACGTTCGACAGACTAATAGCACTCACTAAAACCGAGTCTTCCAGCTTTGTGGTCACACCTCACAGGTCCCAGCTAGAGCTGCAAAAGGAGAACCAGGTCAGATTCAAGTCACCTCCCCCACCTCGGAGCAGAGGACAATCAGCTAATTGCAGCCCTGCGGTTAATGATAAGATGGCTATCTCCTGAGGTGTGGATGTCTTGGCCACACTGAGTTCTGTTACCAGGGCTCCTCAGACAACACCTCCAATAATGAGGGGGTGGGGGAGGGAGGAAGAGTAGGTGCAACAGGCTGGATGTGGAGTATTCTGGAAGCCTTCCAGAAAGGGAGGCAGCAATGACTGGGCTTGCTTGTTTCCTCCCCTGTAAAACCCACAGGCTGGAAGCAATGAGTGGATGTGTGTGGGGGTTGAGGTTGTAGACGGGGAACAAGCGTCAACGATAAAAGACAAGAGGCCTCGTGGTGAAAAGCCACAGAGGCTGAAGAGTCAAGATGCCAGCTCTGTGGGCCACCCCAGGTTTTCCCCATCACCCACGGCTTCGGCCCCCTCCCACTTTCCTGCAGTCACCGACTCTAAGGTCCTCTAGGACACAGACCTCCTTTACCCCTTCTTCACCCTTCAGAGGTCTGGGCAACAGGAGGGAAGCTCTAGGGGTGAGGCCAGGCCCAGACTGATGGAGAAGCAACTGAGACAGGCCTTTTTGGCCGGGAGAGAATTAGAGCCCTTGGAGGCATACCCTCCTGGCCCAAGGGAAGCACTCCATTTCCTCAAGCCACGAATTTCAAACTGCAGGTCAACAACCTAGTTGTGAAACCCATCTAGCTGCGTCTGCAACCAGCATCTTTACAAAATAAAACAGAACAGAAAATATCTGAATGACCTCCAAGCAGTAAGGACTCTTTCATGAAAGTTTTGATCTGTTCTGTTTTCTCGCTAAATAAATAAGCATGCCTGTTTGGTGGGTCATGGTGTAAAATGTTATTTCATGCTGTAGGTTGCAGTCAAAGTGTGAAAGCCACAGTCTTGGGCATGGCTCGTTCTACTGGCCTGGGCCCTGGCTCATGAAGTCCAACTGAGCCACTGCTGGAACCCACTCTAAGCACAGCCCCCAGCCAACCTCTAGAAGGGCTGTCCTACCAAGGAGGCTGGGTGGAGGGATGGGGAGGGATGTGGAGCCTGGGGGGGTATATCCCGAGTGGGCTACCTGAAACCTAGGCCCTCTCCCAGCCTCTATCCCCAGTCCCCTCACTCAGAGGAACACTGGGCAACTCGCCAACCCCTTCTTGTTACAGACATGAAGACTGCTTGCCTAGTCCTTCAATTGTAGGACCTCCCAGCCCAGGCTGGCTGGGCACACCTTGCCGCTCTGTGCCCAGGACCCCGTACCCGGTCTGTGGCCCATATCCTGCGCTTGTGGCTCACAGCAGCGCCCTGCCCCCACATGCCCAAAGTCCTCTAGGCAGCCTCCCCACAAGCCCAGAGCCACACAGGCTGCTGGTCTGTGGCTCTGCCAAGCAGGAAATCGAGGCCTGTTCCCTGGCCACAGGTGCCATGGGGCCCGTCGATCCACCGCCCACTCTCCACACCCAGCCCTGCCAAAGCCAGACACTGCTGACCATCCCGGGCCCAGGACGGCCTGGGTCAGGGGGTGCGGGGCCAACAGGCAAAGCCAGCTGGGGTTTTTACACAGGAAGGAAGAGTAAGCCGAGGTGGGGGAGGAGGCTGAGGGAGGGCGGAAATGACTGCAAGTCAGCACCCAGAGGCAGACAAGGGGGAGGCTGGCCCCTCCCCACCCCTGCTACCCAGTTTTGACCTTTGTGCTCAGACAAAACAGGCAGTCTGGACCCTAACACCCACCATAACCAGGAAAAAAAAAACTTTAGAGAGAGTGGGGGGTGATTTACCACATAAGGCCCTCCCTGCACCCCCCCCAAAAAGTACAGTCCTTTCAAGGTGGAAATGCCATGTGGGCGGAGGGTGGCAAAGGGGGAGTTTGAGGGTGCACAGAGAAAAGGCATCTGGGAACCCCAAATCCTTCCCTTCCCTCTGCTCAAGCAGCCGCCAGCCAGGCCCGCCCAGGAGAGCAGGGGCCGCAGAGAACTGGCCTCATTCATGTCTGCCAGACTGGCAGGGAGGGGACAGGAAGGGAGGGCAGCGGTCAGCATGGGAACCACGGGGAGCAGGGGAGCTTACGTTACTGATCTGGTCCTGGGTCTTCTTGATTCTCTGGAGTTCAGGTGTATCTGCCACCACGCTGAAGCCTTTGCCCTTGTTCTTCTCAAACTCCTCCTTGTAGCGCACCTGGAGGACCAAGGGGCGAGGGACTGGAGTCAAGCCAAGGGGAGCAGAGAGGGCCCCAGCCCGTGGCCACCTCTGAGGTAGCAACCAGCCAGGAGAGAGATGCTGACCCGGAATCCACCCCACCCCCCAACTCAAAGCAGAAGCCTTGGTCAAAAAGTGATACACAATAATAATAACCTGTTAGTATGCATCCAGTGCATTCTGAGTGGCAGGCACGTGCCAAATGCTTTACATGAACTATTGCATGTGAGGCTTACTATAGACTATTATTAGCTCCATTTTACAGATAAGGACACTGAGCCACAGAGGGGCAAAGTCTCATGCTCAAGGTCACATAGCTTTGCAGCCAAAGTCCAGAGCCACCAGGATGCAAACCCTTGTCTGCCTGACTCCTGACCCCTCAACACTGGCCCATCCTGCCTGAAAGCTATAGGAAGAAGGTTCTTTCCAGAGCTCCAAAGACCGCCCCAGCCCTCACCCTAGCCAGGAGGTGGCCCTACCCGCCGAAAGCCCGGGGGAGTTTTCAACTGACCAGCTGAGTGAGGGCTGTGCCAAGGGACAAAGTTGGCGTCCAGAAAGGAGGGCGGTGAGACAGCCATTCGGAAGACTCAATCAATGAGCCTTTGACAGGCCCCGGCGGCTGCCTGGAGCCTGCCAGGCTGGCTTCTGAGGTCAACGCCACAGGAGGGGATGAAATTGGTGGGAGACAGACAGCACTTCAGAACAGGGGTCCAAGCTCCGGGGAAAAGCCCTGCCACCTCACCACTGCCGTCCTCTCCTGAGAACTCCACAGAAACTCCAGCACTAGAGAGACTCAAGTCAGATATCAGAAAGGACTTCCCGAACACGAAAGGGATTGAAATATGAGGAATATCTTGTCCTCCTCTGGGGGTTTTGAAGAACAGAATGGAGGCTGGAAATGCCCATGAGACAGAGAAACGTTCCTTGGCTTCCACAGTCTTCACTGTCCACCTCGGCAGCCAGCTGTTCCAAACCCCACCAGCTGCCTGGATTCCCTCCATGGGGGCTGCACTGTCCTGGAAGCAGGTCAGCCCAGGACATGAGGCCCAGGACATGAGGCCCGGGACCTTGGGAATTTCCAGGATGACAAGCCCAGGCAGCTCCCAGGCCTAGAGTCATCTGGCCGCGGCGCTGAGCTGCACTCTGACCCGACCGACCACACACACATATGCAGCCATGGCCACACCTGTCAGTTCCTCTGCACATCCCCCAGGGGTCAGGGGTCCTTGTTCGTCCCCTGGAGCCCCAGCTCACCCATCCATGGGGTTCTTCTTCCTAAAAAGTTCCAGAACCTCCTTTGTTCTGATCCAGACTAAAAACGAAAGCCTAGATGTGCCAATTCCCACCAGACCGGAAGTTAACGCAGTGGATACAGGTTCCAACCCATCCAGAGGGCCCAGAACTGCCTAGCATCAGCTCTTCTGGGAAGGCCTGGGCCAGAAGGCAACGATTAGTGTTGAGGGGGAACCCTCTGGGAAAGGGGCATCAGGGAAGGTAAGGCACTTAGAGTCAAAAAAACGTTGCTCCAGATGCAGAAGCCCCAAATCCAAAACCTCCAGCCTAGGTTTCCTCATCTGTAAAAGCGCAGTTATAAGAATCAGTTAAAATATGGGGAGGGGCCTTCCTATCGCCAAGCATGGGCAAAGAGCAGGGGGAGCTGATAACCCAGGCTCAATCTCCCACTTGCTAAGTGATCTTAGGCAAATGACCTAACCTCTCGGGCCTCAGTTTCCACATCTGTAAAATGGGGATCATAATACCCATTCCAGTCAGCGGTGCAGATTTCAGTGGCTCTAAAGCAGCCCATGGCAGGGCTCAGTATGTCCCGATAAGGTAAGTGTGAAAGCGCTCTGCCAACCTTAAAATGCTGAAGAAACACCAGTCCCCAATCCTCCCTCTACTTCTTGGCCTCCAGGTCAGACCCCTAATCCAGGGGAATAATCGCCATGGCGACACTGCAGTGACATCAGCTGGTTCCCAGGCTTAGGAACTGCCTCTCCCTCCCTGCTGGGGAAGGATAATTCATGTCACTCCTGGCACAGCGGGCCCAGAGAGGGCGGAGCTGGGTGGAGTGGCGCCCAGAAAGGACTGCGGCCTGGGCTCGGCACCACTTCGCTGTGTGTCCCTAGGCAAGTCAGTCCACCTCTCTGAGTCTCCTGAGCAGGGCTGGCGAGCTGATGTCTAAAAGCCCTCCCAGCTCTGGAGTTTGCGACCATTTTTAAGCACCAGCAGGCCCTGACTATGGAGAATCGAGGTGGGGAAGACTCTCTAAGAGGCTGTTTGGTGCTGGAGCGAGTGGCAGAGGTAAAGGGTGGGGAGCCTGGAGCCCCTCCATCAGGGGTCCCTTGTCACCCAAGCAGGAGTATTGACTCGCATCTGAGATAGCCCACGGGGAGGTGACAGGGGTCTCTGAGGAGGGAAGGGACCTGCCCAAGGCCACGCAACCCAGCTGTTGGCAGGGTCAGGGTGCAACTCAGAGCTGTGGCCGGAGGACTCGTGCCTGGGAGCCGCCTGGGCCTCCCATCCTGGAAAAGCCCCAGGCAGGGCCAGGACTGATGCCTGAGGCTCCTCAGGCCCAACCACCACCACCACCAACGAAGCTCTAACTTTTTATATGTAGATTTATGAATTATTCCCCCTGGACCTAGCTTGTTCATCACACATCCCAGGAGATAGCAGGTACAAATAAGTGTTTCTTGGGTGAATGACGAATGAACTGAATAGACACAAAATCTCCAAACAAACAGGCAGCATAATTTGGAAAATAACTGCCCTGCTGACCCAACAGAAGAGGAAAGGTCATGACTTTAAAAACATATATATATTGAAAAAAATACTATGCCAACAATTTCCACTTATCATGTGCCTACTATGTGCTGAGCCCACATACTACGTAACCCACCCCTTCTAACAAAAAGGAAATCCGTTTTAAAATTGGACACACAGATGGGGAGGAGAGCTAACGAAAAAGGTCAGTTCTGGAAGCAATCATCAAAAGGTCTACTCCTCAGCTGCATCACGCCCAAGTTCCATTTCCTCTCCTTTCCAGAAGAACAGCAATAGTGAACATTTACTGAGTGCTAACTCTAAGCCAGGAAATGTTCTAAACGCCTAATATATACTAACATCCTCACAACCTTTTGTAACCCCCATTTTACAGATGAAGCACTAAGGCTCAGAGAGGTTAAATAACTTGCCCAAGGTCACACAACTAGTGGTGGCAGACCCAGGATTTGACCTTCAGCCGGCTCAGACAAGAGTGACACAGGTATGCTGCCTGCCTTGCTGGTCACAGGATCCAAGCCTGGAGAGTGGGAACCCTGCCCCGGGGCATGGCATGGGCTCTGCTACAGTCCTATCCCCTGTGGCACTTGCCACGCTGTGCTGGGACAGCTCGGCACCATGGAGGTACGACGATGAGGGAGAAAATGACATAGACTCTCTCCTTGCACTTCTGCCTGGGTTCAGGGGGCCGCACAGACACCCCAGCTCAGCCCCAGCCCAAAGCTGCTGCCTCTACGCAGCCTGGGGGGCGGTGACAGCTGCCCTGGGCAGGGGGAAGTGGGGGCAGCTGGGCCCCAGATGCCAGTTGCCTGGCTCAGCCAGGCCTGGGCAGGACCACCCAGAGGGGTCACTTCTGGTCGGCTCTGTGGTTACCTCCCCCGCAGGGGAGGCTCCAGGTGTCCCAGACACCCAAAGTACCATTTTGGGAACCAATCTAGAGACAGGAAAACAAATAAAGTTGAAATAGCACAGGCAGCTTCCCAGAGACTGAGAAGGGCTGAGATACATCAACGCAGGCCCAGGAAGGGCCCTGGAAAGACACCAGCTGACACCCTGGTGAGGTGGGGCAGGGCAGGCAGAGGAGGCTCCCACTTCCCTTCCCGCAGCCACAGGCGGCTCTAGCTGGCCCTGCCCCCACAGGGACCACAAGAACCAGAACCTGTCACCACCCCCAGCCAGGCCCACTCAGCCCTTCCAAGCCTCAGAGCACCAGGCCCAGCCCCAGACCTCGAGGCAACCGGGGTTCGCTGTCCCCATTTTAGCGGAGGAGAAAAAGCTGAGAGGCAGGCAGTCAGGCTTAGACCACAGCTGGGGAGGTGGAAGCGAGGCAAAACCAGGCCTGCAAAGAGGGCAAGGCCCTCATCTCCACTGTCAGCCTACCCGAGCCTCCAGCCCTGAGGATTCCTGGGTCCCACCCAGAACTGCCAATGAAAAGTCCCTTGGGTGGGGCTGCCTTCTACAAGTCCCCAAGCACGGCTGGTGACTGGTGCATCCCAAGGGTAGAGAGCATGAGGCGGGGCGTGGAGAACACCAGGCTGGCCGCCCCAGCTGCAGAACTGTACGAGCAAAGGACTTGAAGTCTGCCTCTGGGCAAGTGGCAGGGCCTCTCTAAGCCTGTGTCTCCATCTGCACAGTGGGGATAACAGAGTCCCTCCTTCCTCAGGAGCTTGTGAGGATTAAATGAGATCAGCGCATGGCCCTCAGTGAGGACCTAATGAAGAGTGACTGCCACTCTCATGATGTTCCCAGCCTGCCTGAGAGACAGGGGCCTGGAAACCCAGGAGGTGAGCAGCGGGCCAGGCCCGGGGAGCAGAGGGCGCAGGTTGGGGGCAGAGGAGCCTTCAGACCCCATGCAAGAGGTGCTTCCTCCAGGTCCCTCTGATGGGACTCCCACCACTCAGGGTTCTGACTGCCCCTCTCAAGCTTTGGGGTGAGTACAGGTCACCCTGCAATGCTCTGGCCTGCCCGCCCCGTGAAGTCCCCTCCACCTCTGGCCCTAGTGGGCTCCCTATAGGATGGGGAGTCTGGGTGGGTAGCCAGGGCGTGGCCAGAATCTCCCCTGTGTAGACCTGGCCCAGGCCCCTGGGCCTGTCTCAACCTCCCTTCCTGCCAGCTGGGCCACCCGGCCTGAGGGCGGCAGAGGTCTGGTAACCACAGCTGCTCCCCAGGAAGTGCAGCTTTCACGCCACAGCTGGTGGGGCCCAGGCTGGCACATATGAGCTGCTGTGAGGGAGAAACCCAGCTTTCCCCACTTGCTCCCCATCACTGTGGGCCGCACGGGAGGCCCAAGCCCCAAACCCCACCACGGCTGCACACGGGCGAGGTCACTGTACTCCGGAGTGAAGACCAGGTCTTACAGCCTCACTTAGTGTGTGCCTCTCGCAGCCCCGGTTCCCGAGGCGGGGCAAGGACAAAGGAGGCGAAGTAACTAAAAGCACTTGCTAAGCTACAAAAGTTCTCACCAGCTTAAGGGACTGTCGTGTTTATTATCCAGGTAGAGACAGTTCTCCTCGGGGAGCTGGATGGAAAACCGGAAAGAACACAAGTCCCAGAGCCAGACGGACCGGCATGCAAAGTCATCAGCATCTACTTCCTCTTCCGGGAGGTGGGGGTGATCCTGCCAGCAGCACAGGGCTGTTGTGAGGACTAAGGGAGCTCACACGCCCAGAGCACTCAGCACTCAGTACGTTAGCCTGAATACTGTTATTACCTCTACTGCCACCGCTATGATCTTAGCAAGTCCCTTAATGTCTCTGAGCCTGTTTCCTCATGTGTACAATGGGAAAAACAGCCCCCTCCTCACAGGGTGGCTGGAGGATTAAATGAGAGACGGTATGTGAAGCCCTAGACAGAGCAGGGCTGGTTCGTCCTCAGGTGACCTGCGGGGAGGCAGGGACCCAGGGAGGTCACGTCAGGATCAGGCAGCAGGAGCCTCGCTCTGAAGCATCAGGAGAGATCCCGCTCTATGGCCCAGCTAGATCCTCCACAACACTTGCCTGGCCCTGGGCACCCTGCCCACTTGGTTATGTTCCCCAGGGGTCTCTGCTGAGGCCCTGCCCCATAGGCCAGACCAGGCTTGTCCCAGAAGCCCCCCAGACCCCCAGGCAGAGTTAGCTGTTCTGGTCTCAGGGCTCCAGACCTTTTGTCTATTCCTCAGGGCCTCTGTGGGGCAGGAACCCCGACTCCTCCCCAATTGCAACGGCGTCCATCACCCCCACCCAGCAGGCGCTCAGGAAAATCAGGCCCAAGGAGACAAAGGCAGGACAGGCCTCAGGGTAAGGTCCCCTTCACAGCCTACCCTCTGAGGGGTGGAGGGGTTTGGCGACACGGCTATAGAGGGGTGCTGTGTAGCCTCAGACTGGCGTGAGCCTGGAGAGGTGAGTTCCCTCCTTTGAGGGTGGGTGTGAGTGGAGAGGAGGAAGAGGGGAACAGCTTCCTGGAGGAAGTGGGCTTCAGGGGCCCCACGTGAAATTTCCTAGAGCAGAAGGAATCAGACGCCCACACCTCCCCAACCCACTTCAGGGGGAACACGCTCTCCCCAGCTCCTTTGACAAAGTCAGGAAATATGAAGTAACTGGGTGCAGGGTTGGGGCAGGAGACAAGGCCCGCGCTAGGATGGCCGCACCTTGGCCTTGCTGAGCAACCGCAGAGGGAAGGGCCCTTGCCAAATCCAGGGGTTACGACAGCCCTCCCCGCCCCCAGGCCACAGCGCTGGCCCCGCCCCTCACCTGACTCTGGAGCTCGCTCTGCTGCTTGAGGCGGAGGTTTTCCGGGGTGTCAGCCACCATGGTGAAGGACTGCTTGGGGTAGTGTCTGCAGGACAGAAAAAGGGGGGGGGGTTCACTCTGGGGAAGGAGCAGGAACCTCTGGGCTTCTCACAGACCTCTCTCTCCTGGAAACTTCCCCTTACCTGTGGGCAGCCCTTGCCCCAGCAGCAGGACCACGGTGTCCACAGTCCATGGTCCACGGCTGAGGGGAAGCAAGCGTTTCTCAGACTCAGCCTGAGCTGAACTGGGAAGACACATCAGGCCTGAGCGGCTGGCCGGCCATGGAGAACTGTCCTAAGCCAAAGGGAGGCCACGGGGACACTGTCTGAGGGTTTCAGGTCACCCTTGTTTGAGGATAATCCATGCCTTAGAATCTACCCCACAGAGAGGTTAAGGGGGCCGGTTCACCCAGGAGGCCCAGCCAGATTGGGGAGAAGATGGGCATGGGGTCAGGACAAAGCTTTCAGCTAAGACCACAAAGGGAGACCAACCAAGCAGAGGAAGGCAGGAGGGACACGGAGACAGAAGTAAAGGGGAAAGGGACACTCATATCCAGGGGGGGCTTCCTAGAGGAGGTGGCGAGAGAAAATGCACACATCAGAGTGATGTTTCAAAGGGCTAACGAGGTCCAACCTAAGTGGACGGGAGGTGAGAGATCAACTTGAGGCCAGAAAAGAGGTCACGCTCAGGTGACAGATGACAACACTGTAACAACGGTTGATGTTTGCCCTGTGCTAAGGGCAAACATGCCTTAGTTCATCAAATTCTCACAAGTGCCCCAGCGTCCCCCTTTGACAGGTGGGAGAACTGAGGCTCCGAGAGGTTCAACAAGATGGCCCAGGCACAGGCCAATAAGTGGGGGCATCTGGATTCACACCCAGACAATCTCCCCAGGACCGGGCACCTGAACCAAACCCTCCAATCTCCAGACACAGAACAGACCAGGGGCCCGATCCCCAGAAAGAGGGCTGACATGGAGGTGGCAAGAGCCAGGGCAGCCCTCAGCCAAGCCTGCAGGGACTCCAGGACCATCCAGTCCAGTCCCTTTACTTCCCAGAGGAGGAACACTGTGCTGGCGCCGGGTACTTGGCTGACTTCATAATTAACTTCTCACATTGGTTTATTATCCTCTCTCCACTACTTCTCCATGAGGGGAGGGATTTTTTGGTCTCTTGTGTTCACTGATTTATCCCAAGCTCCTAGAATAGTACCTGGTATTCAATAAATATTTGTTGAATAAACAAATGTCACACCAGGTGTTGAGGCTGGGCTGGGACTCGCACTCGGGTCTCCTATATCCCCCGGGTCATGACGAAGTCCCCCAGCAAATCAGCTGGAGGAGAGGCAGCCTGAGTCACTGCAGTGGGTGCATATGTGCTGGACGTGACATGGTCGGGGCTCCACACCAGCCTCAACTATTTCAGGGACTGGTGGGCGGCTTCTCTGAGCAGGAGCCGAGGTCTGGCCATTTTTAGCCCTGGGTGACCACACCACACCACAGCTGTGACCACCGACAGATTCCTGATTCGCAGGCTGTCCCCAGGTAAGAGATGGATTGCCTCTTTCCAGGCACGTTCCACCCTGGCCCTGGAACTGGACATGAGCTGCCCTCCTGCCTCTGTGCACTCAACAAACCTGGCACGTTCTCCAGCCACTTACACCACCCGGAGCCAGAGCTACCTGTAAACACATGACTTCCCCCTGGGCCACCACTTGTGAAGGGCAGGACTTGGGGTTTGGAGACCTAAACTAAGGGGGGTGTGACTAGAAACGGCACAGTGTGGACTCTAGCCCTACGACTGAGTCACTGGGTGGCTTTGACAAATCCTTTTCCCTCTGGGCTAGTTTCACTGTCTTGGACCTAGGTGACACCAGCAGTGCCCCACTCCCTAGCCTGCACTGTCCACCTGGGTCCTGCCTCCCAGGTCAGCCCAGGCCCACAGCTCTCCCAGCAGAGGGAGGAGACTGAAAAGCCAAGACAGGTGCCGGCAGCTGGCAACAGAAATGGCCCGTGGATGAAGGTGAAGCTAAGGCTGTGGGTCCAGTCCCCAGGCTTAGCCCAGCTCCACGAAGCCAGGGCACCCACAGCTGAGGAACTCCATTCACAATTCCTGAGCAGTTCTGGGGAAAGGGAGGATCAAGTGGGAGTCTGTTCCCGGAGACTAGACAGAGAATAGCAGGAGGGATCTATGTAAGATCTCCAGCAGAACTGGCTGGCCCAGAGGTCCAAAGAGGGAGGGCTTCAGAGATGACCCTCCCACCAAATCAGAGCCGTTCTGAAGGCATCGTGGGGTGACGGGTGTGGTGTGGAGAGCGTCTGTAAGTAGGAACTCATGTGGCAGAGGGAGCTCAGGTCCTGAAGCAGAGGGATGGAGAAGACCTCCAGGGCGGCTCTGGCCCAGAACCTGAAGGGTCAAGTCTGAGAAAATGGCGCTGGTTAGCATTTGGTGGGGAAGGGTGGCTGGCAGGCTCGGCAAACACATGTGCTCGGGAGCCAGTCTGCAAACCTGGGGTTTCCCACTTGCCTGAACGTACAGGGTGAAAATGGCGTGCCAGCTCCAGTGGCCCAAGGACAGCCAGACACGTGCACCTGACGCACCCCCACCCCGCAGTTCCGAGGCTCCTACACACACTGCGTTATTCCTCACACACGATCAATCTACGGACGGGCCCTCTGCAGCGATGCGCGTCTCCTGGACAGCGAGGCTGACAGGTCCACACGTGACAGCTCGCTTTACAGGCCATGTTCACAACCCCCAACCGCCACTCCACCAGAAGGGTCTCGGGAGACCCCCCAACAGGCAGTGCCTCTGGATGGGGTTGGCGGGTACTTCATGCTCTCTTTGGAGCCACTGTGACCCCCAGATCTCAACCCCCTACAGCCAGAACACTAATCCCATCAGAAGGGAAGGGGGGACCAGCCTAGATGTTGACTCGACTTAATCTGGCAGGAAGAAGAGGGGGATTTTAACCCTGCATCAGATTAACTAGATTAAAGAGGAGCTCCAGAGCCTCCAATCTCTTACCCTTGTCTCCTAACCCCCCAACCCCAGGCCAGCGGAAGGCAGGGAGACATGTGGCATCAGCCATATTCCTCCTGGTAGGTCAACCCTGTCCCTCCCCACAGTCCCCAGCCCTGGCTAGACAATTCTGCCTTTCCCTTCCCCTGCTCGCTGAGCTTCAGGTTCCCATGGCAACCTCATCCTCAGCTCCAGGCAGGAGAGCAGCAAGAGCAGGGAGACAGAGAGAGAGTCTGTGGGGGTGGGGGAAGAGACACAGACAGCAAGGGTGTCCTCAGCTGCAGAGGAGCCCAAGAGGGCAAAACCAGGAGACCGTCTGCAGGATCCTCGCAGACAATTTCGGTGAGGAGGACAGGTGTCATGGGTTTGTTTTCAGAAGGGAGGATACAAGAATATCAGTGCTGTGCCCCTCCCCCACCAACATGACTGCCCTCGAAGAGGGCGCCGACTAATTTGACCTCCTTCCAGAAACAATTGCTGGGAATTGTACTTTTTCCCTCCCTCTCTGTCCTGGGCGTGAAGCTGCCCCCTCATTACCCTCAGATCCTAGTTGAGATGAATGCATGCATGTGTATGCCAATGTGGGCGCTGAGACAGACGAGGGGCCACCTGCCCCAGCTAGTGACCCCAGTGGAACCCCAGCCCCACCAACAGACTCAGCCATGGTGAGGGAACAAGGCGCCAGGGTGGGGAGAACCGGGCGTCCCAACCCTGGCCTGGAGCAGGGTCCGGAGCACAGCTGTTCTTTGTCCCTTCTGTGGGCCAGCCTGCGCCCTGCCCCTCATTAATTATTCCAAGCTGTGGGCCCTCTGCCGACGCCCCTCTCCACCTTTGATAGCTGCTCTAGAGAAGAGAAGGCATGGAGAGAGCCCACTAGGACAGGAAGCCCGGGGGTAGGGGCAGGGATCTAGCTCCACAAGGGCAAGAGCAGGGATGGGGCAGGGCAATCAAGCAGCTGTTGGCAGCAGCCTAGGCCTCGGGACAACAGACAGGCACACAAAGCGACTCCCTGATATACTGTATCCTGTGCACATTCTCTCTTGAAATCTGCCACAAGGCTCTGGGCTAGAAAAGGCGGGTGTTACCATGGTGCCCACTTTACAGATAAAGAAACTGAGGCCCACTGTCAAGGACAGAGACCTTGCCCAGTGCACTCTCCCCTACCCCACAGCTGCCCAGCCAGCTAAGGGCAGGCTGACCTCTCTCGCAGGTGGACCCCAGTCCAGCCCCAGTGCTCAGGGCTCTGGGGAAGGATGTCTGTGGCAGGGTGGGTGGAGAACAAAGTACTTCATCTTTCAAACCCAACCGGTTTCCAAGCTTGGCCATTATGAGAGACCCTCTGGGGTCTTTCAGCCACCCCCAGTCAGAAGGCACCTACTCCTTAAAATTTTCCTAAAGCAGGTGTCCCAAGAGTCCAGACACTGACCTCTGGGGACGCAGGAGAAGGGGCCTCGCCCCTTGGGGGTTATCCCTGAGGACTTGAGTCACCTTCCTGCTTGACGGGACTATGAGGCCAGGGAGGATGTGAGAAGTTGCAACAGGCTTACTGGTGACATGGACAGCTTGTAGGGCACAGCCCTACTCCCAGTCCTGCCATTAGTTGCGTTCCAGAGGCAGAAGAAGAACAGACCAGAGATCCTGAAAGCCCGGCTCCCCCTTTCTACACGCAACCTCGCCCCTTCCAGCCTTGGACTCCTTCAAAAACCACAGCTTTTTGTTTAAGGAGGAACAAAAATACATCAACGAAAGCAACAAGGAGCCTTTGGTTTCACCAAAAGGGAAAAAAAAAAAAACAGCCCCTACATCCTGCCTCTGGAAGGAGCTGCTGATTCCCCTGCTGGGAACACTGCCCACGGGCAGGCTGGCAGGCGGGGAGGGCAGTCAGGGAGGGCTCCCTTCTAACCCAGTTTCTTACCAGGCCGCAGGCCTGAGGGGCTGAAATGGTGGGGATAGGAAGCAACAAAGAGGCATTGTTTGACCAGAGGAAAAAAATGAGCAGCCAAAAAGAACAAGGCTAGACATGAAGAAGAACTTACCAGCCCTCATGGGTTGCAGACAAAATGAAAAATCAAAGCTGGCACCTGCCCCTGATGGCAATACATAAAGAGAAACGATTCTGCCAGGTTGGGTAAGGCATGGAAACACTGGGCCTCAGTTTCCTCATCTATAAAATGGAGGTGTTGGGAGCAAAGTGACCCCTGAGGTTCCTTAAGGCCCTGACATCTCTGAGCGTAAGGATTTGGGAGTGGAGTGAGGTGTGGGGGCTGCCTAGAGGCCACATTTGGCTCCTGTGGATGCCCCTTTGAGCTTGCCTCCCCCATCCCAGACACACACCCCTCCACTCCCACTCCGGGTGCTACCCCAGCTCCCTAAGATTTCTGATCCCATTTTTCCCAGTCAAAGGCAGAGAATTCTGGAAAGGCAGGAAAGCCCTAGGCCCTAGTCCTGAATTTGCCCATCACTGCCCCATCTTCTAAGAACAGCTGGGATTCAAGACAGTTGGCTAGAATCCAGAGACACTTGGAGCACCCAGCCCCACCAGCACCGGCCCCACCTGACTCTCTGAGGCCGGGGAAAGGAGTAGGACCACAGCCCTTGTTCCCCAGAACCAGGGACATCTGCATCCTCAACCTCTCACCCTACAGCTCAAGGAAACAAAAGGATGGACCCCAGATATCTGTAGCAGTGAAGACAGACAGGGTGCAATTGAGCACTCCCTTTCTTCCTTGGCCCATGTCCACTCCCCATCTGACACCCCAAAAGCTGGTTCCCCTGGCCTGTAACTCCACCTCAGGTCTGCAGCCTCCACTGATTCATGCCCCCCCCCCCCCCCCCCCCGTCCCGCCATTGATTCATTCAAGGAGGAGGGAACCAGCACATTTCTCCCCACCCCCACCCAGCCCTGACCTCTAGCCTCCCAGACTAACTGCATGGAGACAAAGGAGCGGGTTTGTCTCCACTTTCCAATCTGCCCCACTTTCCAAAAATATAGTTTACAAAACAAATAACCAAGGGCATAAATATTCCTCTAACCAACGAAGCAGGCTCTCTGCACCTACTTAGAAGCTTCAAGAAAGAATCAGATTGATAGTGGTTGTTCCACTGCTGGCTATTGTGCACATGTGGGCATGCATACCTCTACCCTGGCATAGCAATGCCTAGGGGGCTGTGGCCTAGGAAGTGTGAACGCAAACACAGCCTATTCAGTCCAACTCCCCGGCATTTTCCCCAGCCCCGTGCCTGGCGGCGTGTGTCTCAGTATGCACCAGGCCCAGTGTAAGTGCCTGTTTGTGGAGTTTATCACGGGCTGGCAGGCCCGGCTGTGAGCCACGACCTGTGCTCTCTCCACTGCCTCACCCCAAAACACATCTGGTGCAAGGAGGAAAATAGAAGAGGCGTTTTTGCTGCCTACAGTCACTTTCCAGAACTTAAATCTCAGACTTGAGAAGCCACTGGGGAAAGACACACAGCTTTCTTCTCTCTTGACCACCCCCTGCAAGATCCCGGCTCAGGGACTAGCCAGAGACAGGCACAGAGCACAGAGGCTGCCTGCCCACCAAACCCACACACTCCCTCCCTAGGTGGGCCCAACTCCCTGGCAAAGTGCAGGGAGAGACCACCTGCCCCTCGGGGCTCTGAGTATGAGGGGCTGCCAGGAAGGGAGCCAGGCATGTGGTCCACAAAGCAAGGCCAGGATGAGAATTGGGACAAAGCTACACCCCAGAAACCCCAGGATTCAGGAACCTGAATGTCACTGGAGGATGGGGCCACAGGCAAGAAGAAACAGGAAGGAATGGGAGCAGACAGGACCAGGCAGCCAGCAGGCGCTCAGGACTCTTGGGTCTAGGGTCCAGCATCCCTGGGTAGGACTTTGTAACTGTGGGGAAACTGAGGCTCAAACAGGTCCAGAGGGCACTCCTTGCAGGCCGGGCCTGTGTCTGGTTTATCCCGGAATCCCATGTCTGGCTTGTTGGCACAGACCGACTACTCAGCAGACACTGGCTGAGGGAGTGTGACGCCTCGGAAAAGGTGCTACTACAGCTGGAGTGAGACACAGGCAGGCCGCACTCCCCCAAGTCTTCAACCCTCATCCAAGCTCCTTCCCAGGTAACATGCCAGCCGGTCACCTGGGCATGGCAGAAGCTCCAGCTGTAAAGGCTGCAGGGAACAGAGAGGGGTCAACCTGCTTCTATGGCTGGGGGCCAGGAGAGAGACAGGGGAAGCTCCGCCTCAGCAGGTTGGAAGCAGCATCCAGAGAGGGGCGCTCCATCTTCTGCCTCCCCAGGAGCCCATAACCCCTGCAGAAGCTCCCCACCCCCACTTGCTGCAGCCTCCCTGGAAGAGAGTGGAAAAAGTAAGCTGGGACTTCTGCACGAGGCTGAGAAAATGCAGAGAAAACAAGGGCAAGCCTTTGATTTCTTTCTCCAACTCCCAACGCTCACTGAATTCTAGGCTACTGGAGTCGTAGGAAGGGATATGTAGAAGCATCAGTCCCTGCTGCCCACCAGGCTTAGGGCTCTGCCAGCCTTCTGCCTGCAGGGGTGGAGGCTCGGAAGCTGTCCCCAAAGGAGCTTTGGTGCCCAGAATCTAGCCTGAAGTAGTACAGCAATAAAGGGGTTAAGTGCCCTGGCCTCTGGCTTTGCTGAACCCCACCCCACTCCCCAACAGAGGGAGGAAGTGGCAGAGAATCAGGACTCGTGTGAGCTCTTAAGAATTCAAAGAATGTTCCATTTCCCTTGGGGGGGTGGGAGGGTTTGGAAGGGGGAAGAGGACCAGTGGAAGCTAATAGAAGGGGCAGCTGAAGGAGAAGCCAGGACAGAGCTGTGATGCTTCTCCTACCCCAGGCAACCTTCCCAGTGCCTCAATCCCCCCCAGAAGGGGCAACACTCACATGGCTTCTTGGATGTGAGATTTTATCAGAAATCTGTTTCCCCAGCACCTGGCTCAGGTTGGCATACAGCAGCTGGCAGGCAATAAAGGCTGATGAATGATCAAACCCCCAAGGGGATGAGGCCGTGGTATTAGCAGGGGAGTGGGGGTGCAGTAAGGGAGAGATAGCCTTTCAAAAGGGTTTACGCCCCTAACCCCTTTCAGACAAGTCCCAAATTTCCACTCCTGGGTGAACTTCAGCTGCAAAGAGCCTCCTGACTGAGAATTAAAAAAAAAAAAACAAAAAACTGAACTCAAGTGAGATACTGAATTGTTTTGAACACTGATCTTACAACCTACTTGAAGGGACTTGACCTTCCGAAGCCCCCACCTAGCAGGGCAGCTGTGAGGTCCCGCATGTGCATGGACCTGCCAAAGTTTACACTTGCTGTGCACGAGCTCAGCCTGCAGATGGAAGGCGTTGCACCCCCTGGAACTGCATGGGATGGTATGGGGGGGTGCCCCTCTGGGATAGGGGGCCCCACCCCTACCCACCTCCCCACAGCAGGCCAGGCTGCAGGTCCCAGTATGGAAGGAACAGAGCCCAGGCCAATTCCACTGGAAAACACTTGACGGTCTCCCCAGCTTTCATCACCAGGCAGGGAAGAGATCTGCCCTGGGCCAGGGCACACCTTACACGGTGCCCCCACTCCTCAAGAGAGGAACACCAGGAAGGGCTGCAGCCGGGGGCCCCCAAAGCCTAGTGCCCAGATCCTTTGGGAGGAGGCAGGTGAGGGAAGGAGACAGTCAACTGCTTTTTGGGGAGAGAAAGGAGGAGGGTGAAGCAGAGAACACAACTTGGCAGAAACAGGGCAGTTCGCTTATTCTTGAAAGACCATGCTGGATCCCTCTCTGCAGCAGGTGCAGTGGAAAGAACCTGCTTACTTTACTGGGTTTGAACTAGCCTCTCACTAGCCATGTTGTCTTGGGACAGTCCCTTCCCTTCCCCAAGCCTCAGTCTCCTTCCCCATAAAATGGGAATAACAGCCCTTACTTCACCCAGCTGTGGTGAGGACGAAATGTGATTAATACTCATCAGGCAGAATGTGGAAGCTCTCAGCAACGGCACCTTGTAGTTATTAGAATGGAAGGAAGAAGCGGGGAGGGAGCCGAGGTGCCCGCCCAGCCCCAGCCCAAGGCAGGACTCACGCGCTGCAGTAGGGCTTCTTCTCATAGCCCTTGTAGTTCTTCATGTTGAGTGTCATCTTGCAGCTCTCGCAATGGAAGCATGCTTTATGCCAGAACTGGGAACAGAGGCAGAGAGAGGACACCCATCAGACACCAGGACTTCAGGAAGGGGGGCTCAGGGCCTAGGAAGGGGCACTCCATCCCGGGGACTGTCCCAGACCCATGGCTATGCAGAGAACATAGAATCACCCCAGGTGAGCCGGGGACACCTCAGGTCACAGGCTTTGCCAGCTGCTGACACTCCCCTTCCCTTCCCCGCTGCTCCCCAGTCAGCCATTTGAGCTGTCAGGAGGGGGAAAAGGGCAGACAGGAAGGCGAGTGGGGAAGAGGCCAGTTATAGAAGTGACAGCAGCCCCCAGAAGGTCAGCTCCACCTCCCCCGAACCACTCCTGCCGCCTGGGCTGGAGAAGCCTCATTGCTTATGCAAAGCAGCACCACGGTTGCTAAGAAGCCCCTGCTGTACGTGGAGGGGCAGCTCCCCAGCCTTGACAAGGCCTGGAGAAGAGGAGGAGGGCCCAGGCCCATAACCCAGGCCCGGGAGCCAGGCACTCCTGGCTCCCACACCGGGACGTCTGGACACACGTGAGCCTGGATGATGCTCCAGCTCTGATACCTCCCACTGTGGGACCCCAACCAGAGGAGGGGGTGGGTGCCCCAGCTCTAGCCACCACCCCCACACCTTCCTCCCCTTCCCTCACCCTTCTCCCACCCCTCAGCCAGATACCGGGTAGGAGAGCATCCAGCAGGTGGTCTCCCACTGAGGCACTGAAAAGCTCTGCTTAAAAGCCTTGGAGTGGACCCCCCATAGGGGACATCAAAGCTCCACCCTGACTAGCTGTGTGACCATGTCAGGGCCCACACCCCTGAGCCATTTCGTGTCTGTGGAATGGAAATGATACTTATCCCTCCTGGCACTGCTGAGGATTAAATGAAAATCACCCGCAAAGCCCTTAGCACAGGACCTGGCACCTCCACGGCCCGGACGTCAGATGCCAGGCACGGCAGGTAGGAACCTCAGCTGAGGGGCTCAGCAGCTCACACTGGAGGTTTGTGTGTGTTGGGGCGCAAGCAGGGCATCACTGTGCCCAACCACAGCTACAATGCATGTGGGTGAGAATGAATGACAGGTCATTCTCCAGCAAGGCCCAGGGACTAGGAGCAGAGCAGCCAATCCAGGGTGGCCGATGGAGGGGAACAGAGTTGAAGCCCATGAGGGAAGTGGAACCAAGGCAACAGAAGTGACTCCAACTTGAGAAATGTTGATGCTCTGGCAAACTCATGCAAAGGAGATAGAAATCTACCCCTGGCAGCCCAGGATGTGGACCCGGGGATGAGCACCAAACAAGATTCCAGCTTCCAGGACCCCAGAATCCGGGCGACCTGGATGACCTGGCTGGCCTGTGTCTGCCCCGTTTCCCAGCCATCAGGGGAGACACTCCTGACCTCTCAAAGAAGGAAGCCAGAGCCAGGGAAGGGCCCAGGGAGACTTTCGAAGGGACTCAGCTCAGGGCTAGTTCTTGGCCATCTGTCAAAGAATTCCCCCAAGGCAGTGCTTCTCAAAATGTGTTTCCTAGCCAAGGGGTGCTTCTGGGACACTTTGGAGAAGGGGACAGAAAAAAGAAACTGAGAGGTTGGGATACCACCTCCCCTTTCCTGGCCCACTTCATCCAGCGACCATGGGGTAATTTGGGGGGTTACTGCCTCCTAATAGGGTACTTTCCCTGTCAAGGAGACCCAAAGGAACCCCTAACGGTGGAATAGTAAACTGAGTGATAGAACCACTCTTTTGGGAAGAAGGCCAGATGGAAGTCTCGAAGCAGAGGGATGACTGGTCTAAGCTTGGCCCCCACCCACCGGGGCCTATCCCGGAGCCCAGCCCAGACTCCTCCCAGCGCAAAACACCAACACATACAAGCCAAGAGAAAACTCCAAGAGCGCAGTCCCTGCCCCCCACAAACCCCCCAAGTGACAGCCCCTCTGCCTCCCCCAGTGCCTGGGAGGTGCTGGCAGAGTGCCCCAGCGCTGTCACCACCCAGTCTGCTGGCCTCTGCCTGCTTAGCCGCACATGCCCTTGCCTGGGCCCCCGCCTCCCCCTACCCCCGCAGGGGCCTGCCAGGAAAAACATTCTCTGGAATCCAGACCATGACCCACTTTCACACACACGTACACAGGAATACACACTGTCCTAGGACTGGGGACCTCCAAAACTGCCTCCTGATTGACTTGGGGGAGACAAAGGCAGAGAGAGTCCTACCCTAGCAGAATGGCCAGGTCCCTAACCTGGAGCCAAGCTCCTTGGGAAGAAGGGCAGGGTGTACTGAGCAGGCTGGGGTACAGGGCAAGCACCCGATCCAGGGAGTCCACAGGATCCCTCCCCCCTGCCACCTGGAGGAAGGGGAGCCCCCATATGAGAGGATGGTGCACGTTTCCATCAACAGCTCTTCCTCCCCTCACCCCGAGAGTCCTTACTCTCAGCTTAGACATATTAGAGGCTGGGGTGGGGGTCATCTGTTCCCTTATAGGTGGCTCAAGGGCAGAATAATGAAAACAAGAGTGGATGGAGTGCCTTCAGGGGAACTACTGAACTCAGTCTCCGCATCTGTAAAGTGGAGCTAAAACCATGGTCCCTCAGAGGTGCTGGAAGGAGTAATGAGATGTCGCAGGCGCCAAGCCTAGCATAATGCCTGGCACCGCTAGCTGCTTCTTGTCACCTCCCTCTGCTCTTTGGAGGAGGGCTCCGAGGTTCAAATAAATCCAGCAGCTCCTGCCACTGGGTCCTCTTTGGGGTGGGAAAGCCGGAGGCGTGGGGGCAGAATATGGTGACTCACTCATCAGCTCCTGTAGGCCAAGCCTGGGCCAGGCACCCCAAAGGGACCTCAAGATGAAACTCCAACCCTGTCTCATTCGGGTTTGGTGAATGACACAGTCAGGGAAAAAAGTCAATACAACCCCAAATGACCCTCTCTCTGCTCCTTCCCCTGCCCTATAAGCCCTGTCCCAGAGCAAGAGTCCCCTCTTTCTTTTAGGTCCCAGGGAAGATTTCAGAGAAGCATTCCTGGGACTGGGACTCAGGAGAGCAAGGTACACCTCTGGGCATGCGACTCTAATCCTTCCTGCTGCTCTGGAAGTCCATCCTTTCCCTATTCACAAAAAACCAGACCTCTGGTGCCTATTAGAAGCCTCTCAGGGCCAGCCCTGTGGCGTAGTGGTTAAAGTTACACGTGCTCCGCTTCAGCAGCCCAGAGTTCAAGGGTTCGGATCCTGGGCACGGATCTACACCACTCAAGCCATGCTGTGGCGGTGATCCACATACAAAATAGAGGAAGACTGGCACAGACGTTAGCTCAGGGACAATCTTCCTCAAGCAAAAAGGGAAGATTGGCAATGACTGTTAGCTCAGGGCTGATCTTCTTTAGGAAAAAAACAATAAATAAAATAAATAAATAAAAAAAAAACATTGCAACCCTGAAATTCTATGATTCAATTAAATAAAAAAGTAAAATAAAAAGAAGCCTCTCAGCCAACCTCCCAGGCTCCAGCATCACCCTCAACTCTCCCTTCCTGCAGCTCCAAAGCTGTGACCCATTCCACAGAAAGGCAAACAGAGGCTGATGGCGGCAGAAGCAAGAGCCCAGGAATCACAGTGGAGGTGGGCGAAGCGGCTGCTCCCAGCTTCGGGTGAGGGGATCTTGCCCTGTGCACCCCGGCTGCCCAGGGCAGCCATGACTCAGGGTTAGAATATGAGACCTTCCCCACCCTTCCCAACGTCCAGGGTTACAGTTTCTCCCTCCTCCAGGGGCAACACCAGCCCCACCCTGGCCAGGTCACCAACTGAGCTCAGTTGGACACCTGGGCCTCTGGCTTAAAGGCATAGACCTTGGCCGCACCTCCACAAATTCCCATGGGGAGATTATTATTCCCAGTGCCCCAGCTCCCCACAAGACCCCAGGCCCAGGGTCAGGAAGGGGCCGACCACTTGAGGCACTAATAAGATAGTGTAAGTAAAAGCATTTTTTGCAAACACACCAGGTAGAAGAACCGAGCACAAAGAGCTTTAGATGTGAATTCTAGCTCTGGCTGAGAGGAGAAGGAGCCACATGACCTGTCTGAGCCTCCGTTTATGGGGGTCATAATTTACAGAAGCAGTCACATCTGTTTTGTGAGGCTGCCATGAAGACTGAGCCTGGCACGTCGCAGTAAGTAGTCGTTACTATGAATGGATGGTCACAAGATGGGGTACTCAGCTTCAGCTAGAAAAATGGGACACCCCAGCTGCAAGGAATTGTCTCCTTTTTGGGTCCAGCTCAGCCTCCTTCTACCTTGCTGCCCCCTGCAGGGATGGGGTGGAGGTGGCTCAGACAACTAGAAGCAGAGAGCCCTCCTAATGGGGGATTCCAGGGGAACCAGCAGCCCACCAATCCTCTGCCCTTCCCGAATTTCTCCACCTGTTTTCAGAAGCCTGGGAAAGCAAGCCAGGGGAGAGAGACATGGCAAGAGTCTTGACAACACAGGTCCCCAAATACAAACGTTTCCCAACAGGGTCTGGGACAAAACCCCACCTCTCTCAAAATGTAGAGGACATTCTGAGACAGCCTCTCTCCCTTCCCGAAGGCCCTGCAGCAGCCCTGCTGGGGGCTTGGCACAGAGTAGGGGCTCAATAAATATTTGCCAAATGAATGAGGGAATGAGGTCACCCTGTTTCTCCCCCAACTCTAATCCCAGAGTCCTCTAGGGAAGCAAATCTCAACCTCCTTCCCCCAACACCGTCATCAGCAATACATATTTATTCAGCATGCAGAGCACACTGGGTAATGCAGGTTGGGGGCAGGGTGGCCATCAGAGGTGACATGGCCTTTACCCACCTAAGCCTTTGGGAGATAAGGCTCAGGGAGGAGAAAAGGCTAACACCAAGGACACAGCTTGTGCTCTGGGTCACATGGTGAGCGGGCTACAGGCTGTAGGGAAATTGTAGTGAAATGAGTGAGTCTAATTTGACTCTCTCCTAATGTAAACGGGAAGCCTTGGGGACTTGTATGCCCCCGCCCCCCCCCCAGGTCTCAGTCCTCCAGACACCAGTTCCCGGTCCAGGTGCCTGTCCTTACTGCCTGGAGGAGGTTGGAACCAATAGTCTGATATCTGGATATTCCAGGCCTCCTGCTCAGGGCAGGGGTCAAGGTCTTCCCAGGGCCAACTCCTGTAGGGAGAGCTCTAAAAAGAAGGAGGAACCACCAACTCCCACTTCCCAGGGCAACCCCCACTGAATGTCCTCTTCCAGCTAGGACAAGAGAACAGCTGGGGGAGGGCACCTTGCAGGATCCCTGCCCCCCTCCCCTCTGACACGCAGCACCAAAGGTCCTTACAAGGGGAGCCACGTGTGGACAGAGTATCCCAGGAAAGTAGGAAGGCACAGCCTATGCCACACCCACTTCTGGCACTTAAGTAGGCACTTTAGTGCACTCCCCCACTTCCAAGGAAGTGACATCACCATACCCAGATGGCGAATACTGAGGCCTAGGGCCATTCATAAAGCTGGGGGAGCAGACCTGGAACTAGGACAAAGTCTCCCAACTCCTGGGCTAGCAATGCCTCCATCATATATTGTTCCCGCCTTATATGGGTGAAAGTGCCCACAGCCTCTTTCCAACTCATGACTGTGGAGAAGAAGGCGGGCACAGGGAACTCAAGATGCAGAAGTCAAAATCCCTACCACCAGAGAAGGGCAAAAAACCCAGTGTGCAAGGACAGATAGTTCTTCAGCTAGCGCCTCCAACCTGAAGTCCTGCCCTCCAGAGGCTGGCACGGTCATTGGGAAGGTCAGCACCCACATCCCTTGTGTCCACAATATGGCCTTCCTCTCCTCCAACCCAGCCAAGCCCAAGAGAGACAGCAGTGAAACAGCAGCAGCCCCATATGCCTCCCTCCTTCAAGAGCAAGTTCAAATGTATTTCAGAACCTTAGAACACCACCCCCTCACCCTGACTCAGAGGCCAAAGGTCACTAAGGAAGCTCCAAAACCAAGGGGGAGGGGAGAGACAAAAAGTATCCAATGAACTGTCCTTTCCAAAACAAAACCTGGCTCCAGGTGGGCAGTGAACTTGGCCCCAGGGCTCTGCACCCCTCTTCCATCCCATGCCCCCTACCCCTGCCAGTTCAGATGCAAAGGAGGGAATATCTGGACTTAGAGCCAGCTTTGGGAGGTGGGATAAAGGCACGATGAGGAGGGGGACAATCACAGAGGCCTCTCCTCCAGACTGGGGGGGAGATGCAGAGGGAAGGCAGATTCGCCTCAGGATCTTAGGGAGCTTACAAGAGGACTGCATCCTACCCCAAACTGCTGGAAACACCCAGTTCTAACTCTCCGCCCCCCTCCAAAAGTATAATGGCAACCAGATGAACGAGTCCAGCGTAGGGGGGGGCGACGCGTAAGGGCCCCCAGGGTACAGTGAATTTCAAAAATCCACCCTCCCCTCCCCCCAAACACCTCCCCCTTTTCTTGGCTTCCCCTGAACTCGGCCAATACCACCCTCCATTGGGGAAACCTGCTTTGAAAAGTTAGCTCTTTGTTCTACAAGCCGGTCTCAGGCTCTGAGCACAATTTCAGGAGATCTCTGCGAAGCACCCCCGACCCACCCTACTCCAGCACCCGACCCCGCCCCGCTCCAGCTGGGCGGCCGGGCACCGGGAGTTGGCTTCTAATCTGAGGTGGGGGCTGGGAAGCTATGGAGGAGGTCGGCTAGTCCATTAACCGATGAACCACCAAGGGAGCTGCAGGTCGTCCAAAAAAAGGGGTCTGGCAGTGGGGCTCGGGTCCTTATCTGAAGCTCAGTTCACCAGTTGCAACGCTTGCCGGCTGATAGCCCCCGCCCCCCAGTCTCCAGGCCAGGAAGCCGGGCCATTCAGGGCCACAGCAGACGGTTTCGCTCGGTCCCCCAGCCTCTGCCCCGCCCCCCCGCCGCCCCCTCCCCCAGCGCCCGGCGCTTCCGCCTACTTGGCGCTCGGCGCGGCGGGGAGAGGGAGCGGCCGTCTCCTCTCACTCTCCCGGCCCTACGGGGGCGGGACTGCACCCCTAACCTTCCCCCACCCCCCACCCCGGGGCCTGGCTTCCCACTCCTCTTCCGTCCTCCCAACCCCGGGGCAGAGCCCACTCTTCTCCAGTAGTGCCTGCCCGCCACGCGTGGACTCCTTGCCTCGCTTCGGATCTCCTGGTTTCCAGACTGGGGTCTGTCCCCACACCCCATGACACCGCCCTCCTTCCCTCCTCCCGGGATCGCGAGGATAAGGCGGCATAGACCCGGCCCCTCTCTCCTCCTCCAATCTGGAACCCTGCTCGGGGATTGCAAAAACGCGTCTCCCGGTCCCGGGGCTCACCTTATCCAGACAGTTCACCTTCTCCGTGGGGTACACGATCTTGCCGCACCGGGCGCAGTTGGGATTCATGGCTCCAGGAAAGGCTGGGGCGGGGACGCCCGAGCTCGCGCGCGTTCTCTTTCCCCGGAGCGAGCTGGCGGGAGGCGGCCGCGCCTGCAACTACACAGGCGGCGACGACCGCGGCTGGAGCTAGGGAACTGGCCTCCGCCTCCGCCCTCCTTCCCCTAATAAACACAGCGGGAGGAGGGGCTGCACCGGGGCGGGGACGCGCCGCGGGCGCGGGCGCGGGCAGGGGCGCGCGCGGCGAGGCGCGCTCCCCGGGCGACGTGGGGCTGCGCGGGGGCGAATTCCGGGGAGGGCTGCGGGGCTGGGGGTGCGCGCCTAGGTGCGTTGGAGGGCTCCTGCACCCGCGCGCTTTCAAGCAGAAGGTGACTTGGAGAGGCGCGCCCGGAAGCCAGGCGCAGGCAGCCGGCTCTGCCCAGGGCCCTTCCCGCTCTGGAGGTGGCGTGGAGCCGGTCTGGCCGCCCATCTGGGTCCCCTGGGCTGCGGGAGGCGGGCAAACCCTACAGACCCGTCGAGGGTGGGGCTGGAACCCTCCAGAACCCCCGACCAGATTCGGGGACTTTTCCTTTGTACCCGTCGGTAACTGGTGTGAACCTGCGGACCGAACGGGAACCCCCTGCCCCGCCCCTCAGCTGCCCTTCCCCCCACATCCTTTCCCACATTTGTAGGGCGGAACCCGTCCCTCCCGCCTGTACTCAGCGCCTCGCAGCCCGGGATACTTCTTTCTTTCCCGCGCCTCCGCCGTGCTGCTTTCCCGGGGTTCCCCGGATCCTTCTTTCCGCTTGGCCCCCTTTCCTCCTTCATTCTTTTCTCCTTACCCTTATTCCTCACCCTCAGTGTAGCAGTGTCTTAACACCCAAAAGAGCCGTCTCCAGGTGCACGAGCGGCGAGGGGGTATAGCTCAGTAGTAGAGCATTTGACTGCAGATCAAGAGGTCCCCGGTTCAAATCCGGGTGCCCCCTTTGTGGTTTCTCCTTTCTTCTATACCTAGCATTTTAACAATAGCTCCTAGGTTAAAAGAAAACAGAAAGACAATTTTTAAAAGAATCCCTTCCTCATTTTCCAACCTTAGCAGAAGCTTTCGATTTTGCTTTATACCCAGCAGAAGGGGGAGGGGCGGGTACGCGCACAAATCAGGTACAAAAGCTGCCCGTCGCCATTACCTGCGCCAGAGGTGTCAGGATTTCTGCGGCCACCGCCAGCAGCCTCAGATGTGTGAGGCAGTTCGAGGCGCCGGGTTCAAGGGACAAAATGACTCCCCCAAGTTGGCGTTCCGTTTCCAGCGGGGTTGGGAGTGGGTCGAGAGAGGGAAACCCACAGACACAGCCTTTCTCCAACTTCAACTTTCTTTATTACCGGTGACATGGACGTGCTGTGTTCACCCTTCCCTACTGCTCATGACACAGGCGGAGTGAAAGCACTTCGAGAACGTTAAAATGGCCAATGCACACATATAAGCTCATTTTAATTTACAAAATTAAAGTTAGATCCTGATGCAAACTGATATAAACTAATGTAGTGGTTCTCAAACTTGAGCGTGCATCAGAATTACCTGGGGAACTTGTGAAAACACCCCCAGTTTCTGATTCTGTAGGCCTGGAGTGGGACTCTGAGAATTTTGCATTTCTAACAAATTCCCAGGTGACACTGATGCTGCTGGTCAGGGGACCACTCTTGGAGAACCACTGAACTAGTAATACACGGCCATCCAGTTTCATAACTTCAAGGTGGGGACAGATATCTGTTGGCTGCGTGACTGACAGTGTCACTGTTGGACGAGAGGAAAACGGTAAGTGTGAAGGGAGCAAAGGCGTCCCCCTCAACGGTTTTGCCCAAAAAAAGGAAAAATAAAAGAGAAAGGGAAAGGCATGCCGCCTAGGTCAGGGGGCAGCTGCGATATTTTAAACCCGGAATCTGGTTGTGTCATCCCTCGGCGCCCCAGGGGAATACTCGAGCGCATTTTTTCCAAACCACGGCTCCCGTTACTGTGAAATGCATCGTGAGGCTGGACATGGAGATTGAGCAGAGCTGCTGTCCGGTGCAAAGCCCAGACCCGAGAAATAACCAGCTTTTCACTCCTTTCCTGGACACCAGGCCTTCAACTTATACTGCAGGTTTAGATTTATCAGGCCAAAGCCCTGCCGTCGAGCTAGTATAAAGAAGAAAGCTGTCCACTTTTCACCGTCTTTTATCTGTGCTGTGTACTGTTACAAACTTCCCGTCTATATAAATCTTCTGAACTTTTGTTCTAGTCTTCCCGGTCAGAGTATGAACTGGGCAAAATAATATTCCCCCGCCCCGGCACTCCATTTTTACCCAAAAAGAAACTGTAATTAACATTAAATCAATAGATCTGGAACTCTTGGAGATAGGAATACGGTAGTTCGGCACCTTCTCTCTACCTATTGAGAGCGCAGGCGGGCTCTTCGCCAGAGTCGGGGTGTACAGTTTAGACGCAGTCAAGTGATCCCTGTGCAAACTCTGGGGTGTTGCTCTCTACTTCTCAGGTACCGGGAACATTTGAAGGAGGAAAACTGGGCGGGTGGAAGAGACAAGATCTTCCCGGGAGTTTTGGATTCAGAACCCGCAGACATCCGGGTTATTCTGAGTTACACCTGAGCGGATCTTCCACAGAGTTTTGGATTCGGAATCCGCAGACATTCTGGTTACTCTGGGTTACGCGAAAGTGGTTGGGAAAAACGTAAAGGTAGGAGAGGGGGCACCCGGATTTGAACCGGGGACCTCTTGATCTGCAGTCAAATGCTCTACCACTGAGCTATACCCCCTCTGCTGGCAAAGTTTTGGCAAATTCATTTTACATCAATCTTAAATTTTTTTCATACTGAAAATTGTTCAAAATCAGTCGCTTCTTGCTAGATGATACTGAATTTACTAATAAGAAGGAATAAAAGAAAAAGACCAACTGAAGATATGGCATTTTGAAAACGTGAATTTGGGTACAAATCTGCCTTTTCTTGGCTCAACTCTTTATCCAAATCCCACCCATCTCTTTACCCTAAGAAGTCAGAGAACAACCTCTTGCACAACTGAATGGAGAGAATCCTTTCTCCTGGTCTCTGTAAAAAGAATACAAACACCAGCTAAAAAGATATCTCTACTGAGAGACCTTCCCTGGCTATACTCTCTAGTGTGGCTATATGCTCTCTTTTTATGGAGCAACTACTATGTGCCCTACTTTAGGTGCAGAACATACTTTCAGTAGAAAGACACAACGGTTCTCACTCTCACTGACTTTGAAATCTAGTGAAGACACACTAGAAACAAATGCACAAACGAATAAACAGGGAAATGCCCAGTAGTGATACCAGAGATGTTTAGAATTAAAAAAAGATGATGTGTTAGAAAGGTTCAGGGGGGCTATTTCAGGTTGGATAACCATGGAAGACCTTTCTGTGCAGGAGATTTTACAGTTAAGACCTGAATGACATGAAAGAAACAGCCATTTGGCCATCTGTGGGGCGGGGCGGGGGGGGGGGGGGGCATTCCAGGTAGAGGAAATGGTTACTGCAAAGGCCCCAGGGACAGAATGGCTGGAAGAAGGTAGACAAGGAGAGAGAGATTCAAGAGAGCTGGAGCCAAGTAGCCAGGGCTGAAAAGGGCCTTGTAGGCCAAGGTAAGGAGGTTGGATTTTATTCTAAATGGATGAAAAGCCAACCATTGGACAGTTTGAAGCAGAGGGATTTGAAATCATCACCCACACTGCTGTGGGGAAGATTTTATAGGGAGTCAAGAATACATACACACAATGGAGTATTATTCAGCCTTAAAAAAGAAGGAAATCTTGCAATATGCAACAACATGGGATATTATGCTAAGTGAAATAAGCCAATCATAGAAGGACAAATACGGCATGATTCCACTTATATGAGGTATCCAAAGCCATCAAACTCATAGAAGCAGAGAGTAGAATGGTGGGTGCCAGGGATGAGGAGAGAGAAATGGGGAGTTGCTAATCAATGGGATCAAGTTTCAGTTGTGCAAGATGAATAAGTTCTAGAGATCTGCTATACAACATTGTGCCTCTAGTTAACAATATTGTATTGTATACTTAAAAATCTGTTAAGGGGCTGGCCCGGTGGCACAAGCAGTTAAGTGCGCGCGCTCCACTGCGGCGGCCCGGGGTTCGTCGGTTCGGATCCCGAACCGTGCACCCACTCACCACTTGGCAAGCCATGCTGTGGCGGCCTCCCATATAAAATGGAGGAAGATGGGCACGGATGTTAGCCCAGGGCCAGTCTTCCTCAGCAAAAAGAGGAGGATTGGTAGATGTTAGCTCAGGGCTGATCTTACTCACAAAAAAAAAAAAAAAATCTGTTAAGAAGGTATATCGCATGTTAAGTGTTCTTATCAGAATAGAAGAAAAAAAAGAGTGGACAAAGACAGGTTAGGATTCTATGGCAATAGTGAGAGATGGTGGTGATGTCTTAGACTACAGTGGTGTATTAGTTTTCTACTGCTGCTGTAACAAATTACTATGAACTTATTTGCTTTAAACAACACAAATGTATTATCTTACAGTTCTGAAGTTCAGAATTCCAAAATCAATTTCACTGGGCTAAAATCAAGGTGTTGCCATGCCTGCATTCCTTCTGGAGGCTTTAGGGGATAATCAGTTTTCTTGACTTTTGTAGCTTCTAGAGGCTGCCTGCATTTCTTGGCTCATGGCCCCTTCCTCCATCTTCAAAGCCAGGGTAGCATCTCCTCACCCTCTGATCTTTGCTTAACTTTAATCTTATCTTTGATCAAGATCCTTAATTGAATCACATCTGCAAAGTCCCTTTTATCATGTAAGGTAACATATTCACAAAGGGATTGGGACGTGGACATATCTGGAGGGCCATTAGGTAGCCTACCACAGAGGAAACAGCAGAGCCAGAGAGGGGTGAAGGCATCCAGATTGACCATGGCAGGGGAGCCACGTGCTTCATGTATGTTGGATGGCTTGAGAGGAAGATGAGAGAAAGAGAAGAAGCAAGAATGACTCTTTTGTCTTCACTATCTGAGTGGTTGGTGGTGTGGTTTCCTGAGATAAAGAACACTGGGAAAGGAGTAAGTTTAGGGGAAAAAAAAATCAAGAGTTTCTTTTTAAAACTCTTACACAGAAAGTAATAAAGTACAGCCCCCTATCTTCATGGTTAAATGAAGATGA